AATAAATTTATATTTTGTATTATTTTTAATTAAATCTTTATATTTTTACTTTAAGTTAAATAAATTTTTATATTTTTATTTTCAGGCACTGATCCGGGCGGTTTCTATGAGCTTATGGAGAGATGCACACCAAATTTCGTTTTGGTGTAGGTGTTTCCTGTCCTCCCAAATGTTGGGATATGTTTGACTGAGATCTTTTGAACTGAGATAAAGAAGGTTGAGGAGGATTGATGTCAAGGTGTGCAGGGTGATGGGGAGTTTTTTCTGACAGGGGAGGTCTATCTATGCAGCTGTTTCCTTGACATGGACGATGATTTTTGCAAAGGGCTGACAGTTTGCCATGATAGATGGTGTTAATGCCTGTACAGGGAATGTGATGAGATGGAATTTCTGGGTCATTTCTAGGGAGCTTGTCTGTGTATCTATGTCTTTAAAGGTTGATTTGTTGCAGGAGGATGGTGTGTATATGTAATCTTTTCAATGTTCAAAATCTTGACCTAAGATTTTTATAAAAAATTTCAAGTTTTTTTTTTTTTATAACACAAGGATTTCTGGTCATTTGATATTTGAAAATTTAGAATTTTTGTTATTGTCCAAACTGCTGCTACTAGTAGTCAAGAAGCATGATTTTAGGTAAATGCTGCCAATTGCTCTTTGAGGAGCTAGCTTATTTTGCAAGTGTACAAGTTCCAGTTGCCTCAAGACTAGAAGTCCTATGCCACTAGAAGTCTTTTACTTCTAAAGTTAAAACACTTGAGTTGGCATACTAGTTAGAGGGTTCATAATAAAATTTGTTTTTCACAAAAAAAAAAGGTAAACATGGAAAACTATTAAAGAAACCTAATTGAAAAAATCATTCATGAAACAAAGGAGATAAATAAAGCACAAGATAATAATAATAATAATATATGATAGCTTTTTTTTCATAGAAAGATTTTCATTGATTCAACTAAAGATCGACCTTATAAATGACTGAAAACAATAAGCAAGAAGCAATGACATCTAAACTTGCAGTCTCGCAAGGTAAAATCAAAGGTTTATTTACAATAGAAGAGATGAGTTAATCAAGACGAAACTAAAGTTACAGATTTTGTTTTTGTTAATTTTCCTCTGGAATACTCTCCAATGCTGGCCTCCAGCCTCCATGAAAGACATCATCGTCACTTGTTCTTTCAGCTTCATGACCTCTCAATTTTCGTCGTTAATTTTGAAGTATCTAAATGAGAACTTTATAATATATTTTTGAAATTTATTATTCTAACTCGAATCTTAATATATATCCACTATTCGATAATTATTCGAATCCGTTTAAAAGTACGATTATATTAAAAAATTTTATTTAACTCTTTATAAGTACCTAATTACCCGAACATGAATCCAAACTCATATTTATTTATAATTAAATTATATTTCACAATTCACATCCATATTCCGTACAATTCACTAATGATTAAATTTATAAAAGCAAATCAATAACAAAATTACAAGTTTACAACAATAATTATTTAATTTAAATTTATAAAAATAAATAAATAATAATTATATTATAATCTCATAGCTTCTTTTTAGGCATATATATTATAAGTTTAAGTAAACAAAGGTATATATATTTATACTTAATAATTTTATAAATTATACTTTTTGCAACGTTAATACAAAATATAAAATAAATATATTTATATTAAAAGTATATATATAATAATAATTATATTCTTTTTGAATTAACACAATATATAAAGTATATATTAAAAAACATTACAAGTTAATCGATAATTATACTTTCATGAATTAATTTAATTAATTTTATAAATTTATCCTTAATTACATGAAATTAAAAACAAAAAAATACAAAATTATTTTAATCTCACAGCTTCTGTTTAGGTGTACATATATATATATATATATATTATTACAAGAATACATAAACAAAGTATATATATTATAACTAATAAATTTATAAGTTATAATTTTTGTAAAATATAAAATAGAAAGCAAATATGTTTATATTAAAAATATATATATATTTGAAGAACAAACATGCACTTTCATGTAACTTCAACAGCTTAATCCATACAAAAAGTTGTATAACTGAACAAAATCTTCAATAATATGAACATTAGATTGTTGAAAATGCATAAAAAACCTAACTATATATTCCTTCAATATGATATGATGTTCATATTATTTAAACATTAGTAATAATCTAATAATTTTTTAATTCAAATATGTTAATGACATAGCATTAATAATTTGATTAACAATTATAAATCATTAATATATCTATCAATTTTTATCATAATGAATTATTCACAAAGTTGGTAAAAATGTGAAGAATTTCTTATCCTTACACAAATTCAAATCCAAACACTAATAGATGATAAAAGCAAGGGAAATGAAGGGCAGCCAATTTGACAATGGATGGGACAAATCTCAGCATATGGAAAAGCTTACAGAACAAATGGTTCTTCTTATATCAGAGATAACAAGGGGGTTTAATCTTGTGTACCAAAGCGTATATTGCCTTTCACATTATCTGATGTAAACCTGAAAGTTATATTATTAACTTTTATAATCACATGATCCTCTTATTTTAGCCATTGGAAACACAACTAATGCCTTCATTATCTTTGATTTGCACTCGCTCGCACATATATAAACCTAAACCCTAGTTTTCTTTTTGATTATATCCAATTGGAGTTTTCTTTCACTTCAAAAAAAAAACACTAATATAAAATTTTACATATTTAATTTAATTATCTATTATATATTATATAATTAATAATAAAATATTATATAAATGGGTATAGGATTCAAGTAAGGTGTAACTAAAGGGTTATACTCAAACCCAATATGAATAGTAAAATTACTACTTGAATCTATTTCAAATTCAATTATAAAGTACCTTAATTTTATATAATTTGGTTAAATACATGCAAGTACCTTATAACAGAGTAGCCATTGACATTCCTACTAGTGCCCAGGTGCTTGCTGGTAACAAATGCAATGGCATGAGGCTTTCAGCACTCGGTTTTTTAATGAGAGAGACCTCGTTAGGTTAATTTTTTATTACAATAAAATTTTTGGTCATTTGATATTTGAAAGTTCAAAATTTTTGTTACTGACAAACTGTTGCTAGTAGTAGTAGTAGAGAAGCAGGATTTTAGGTAATTCTGGTTTATTTTGTAAGTGTACAGGTTCCAGTTACCCCAAATCTAGAAGTCCTCTGCAGCCAGAAGTCTTTAACTTTCAAAATTTAAGACTTGAGTTGGCATCCTGGGTAGAGGGTTCATATTTTTTTAAAAAAAAATGTAAAACATGGAAAACAATTAAAGAAACCAAACTGAAAAAACATTCATGAAACCAAAGAGAGAAAAAAAAACAAGAAAATAAAAATATAATTTCATGATTGATATAATCTAATATCTGATAGCTTCTTTGCGCATATAATAAAAAGATTTTCATTGATTTGACCTTATCAGTGACTGAAAACAATAAGCAAAGAGCAACGCCCTCAAAAATGGCAGTCGCGCAAGGTACAATCAAAGGTTTATTTACAATAAGAGAGATCAGTTAATCAGGAAAAAACTAAAAGTTACAGATATTTTATTTTGTTAATCTTCCTCTGGAATACTCTCCAATGCCGGCCTCCAACCTCCATGAAAGCCATCAACTCCACTTGCTCTTCCAGCTTCAGAAACCCAAATACCTCTCAGTTTTCGCTCCACTGAAGAGTGCTTCAAATCTTTCCTGGAACTTAAAATCTGGTTCAACTCTTCCAGTGTCACAACATTGTTTTCTTCGTTTGATTTGAACCTCATCTTCTTCTTCCTCTGCTTAATCTTCTCACCCTCATCAGCAGCGACCTCGGCTCCTCCCAAGTTGGACGCTGTAAGTTCTCTCCTCCCTTCGATGACTTCTGGTCGGTGGCCTTGTGGCTCAGGCTGGTCGTTTTGGGGAAGAATCTTGATACTCGTCAAGCAATTCCCCATCTTCCAGATGCAAAACGAGTATAATCAGGTAGGCAAGAGTGAGAAAGAACTGAGGGTACAGAGTGAAACATAAACATATAGAAACAGGGAACGTAGAGTACAAGGAATTCATTACGCGTACTTTCAACGCCGGAAAATTTGGAAAGGAGGAGTTCAATTCTTTGTAAAATTCGAAACTCACTAAGTTAATGATTCTAGACAATTCTTAAAGAAAAATATAAATAAATTTATATTTTGTATTATTTTTAATTAAATCTTTATATTTTTACTTTAAATTAAATAAATTTTTATATTTTTATTTTCAGGTACTGATCCAGGACGGTTTCTATGAGCTTATGGAGACATGCACACCAAATTTCGTTTTGGTGTAGCTGTTTCCCGTCCTCCCTGATGGTGGGATATGTTTGACTGAGATCTTTTGAACTGAGATAAAGGAGGTCGAGGGGAGGACAGATGGTGAGGTGTGCAGTGGGAGTTTTTCTGACATGTGAGGTCTATCTATGCAGCTGTTTCGTTACCATGGACCATGACTTTTGCAAAAGGCTGACAGTTTGCATGATAGATGGTGTTAAGTGGCTGTACAGGGGAATGAAACTTGGTTGGTCATTGCTATGGAGCTTGTCTGTGTATCTATGTCTTTAAAGGCTCATCTGTTGCAGGAGGCTGGGCATATATGGTCTTGCCAGCCATGATGGCTGTTCCTCTACCATGTAAGGGTAGTTTTGTAAATTTAATTCAGAGTAATGAAATTAAATTAGTTGTTTTTTTTAATAAGTCTCTCCCCTTGTAATTTAATCTTTTCGATGTTCAAAATCTTGAATTAAGACTTTTATAAAAAATTTCAAGTTTTGACCGTAGAAGTTAACAATAATAAGCAAATAAAATGAAAATCATAGAAAGCTAAGAAAAACCTAACTGAAAAAACATTCATGACAAATGGACAAATTGACAGCTAATACAAACACTATATTTATTATAACACCAGTTTCCATATCCCAAAACATCAAAAACAAGCGTAGAAATCCAAACCCAGCAGAGATAGCACAAGGTAGAAACAGATTTGCTCCCCTGCTGCCAACAAAAAAAAAAAAACCAGAAGGTCACCGGTGCACTTGATCCCATTACATGAAGCCTGTATCTTCCCCTGCAATAAACTTACGGAGCCACGGTAATCTTATGAAGAGAACCACAACACAACCCGCGACCACCACTACCTTCAGAAGAAACCCCCCAATACACCTCAACAAATGAAAATAAGTCACCATATCACCCCATTGTCTCACCCAGCACCCCAACAAATAAAAAAAAGCAACAACCACCGCATACCATCACCTGCCAATGTACAATCCCATCACACACAGAAGCACATAGAGTAATTCAAAGCAAACAAGCATCCCTTAACACCTCCTGGCAATGTGAACTTACAGGCAAACTCAACCATAGAGCAATCACCTCCTATCATCAAAGCAGAACCAGAGAGAATCCCCGTACCAGGAAACAGATAGCCAAGCACAGCCTCAAAAGCAGCCATCACACAAAGAAAAATACGAGAGCACCAAAGCCCTTCGCCACCTTTGCACGTATGACAAAAGATTTTCATTAATTCAACTAAGGATCCACATAAAAAACGGGTCCGATCGACCTGATCAGTGACTGAAAACAAGAAGCGACGACATCTAAAATTGCAGTCTCACAAGGTAAAATCAAAGGTTTATTTACAATCAGAGAGATGAGTTAATAAGGACAAAACTAAAGTTACAGATATTATTTGTTAATGTTCCTCTGGAATACTCTCCAATGCCGGTCTCCAACCTCCATGAAAGCCGTCATCATCATTTGTTCTTCCACCTTCAGAAATCCTGACACCTCTCAATTTCATAACTCTTATCAATCCCTCCAGTGAAGTGTGCTTCAAATCTTCCCTGGAACTTAAAATCTGCTTCAACTCTTTCTGTGTCACAACGAGTCTTATTCTCACAACCCCATCTTTGGACTCTCCTTGTCTCCCTCCATCAACATCGTTTTCTTCGTTTAATTTGAATCTCACCATCTTCTTCTTCTTAACCTTCTCACCCTCATCAGCAGCAACCTCGGCTCGTTCCAACTTGGAAGCTGTAACTTTTCCTGTCTCTTCGATGACTTCTGCTCGGCAGCCTTGTGGCTCAGGCTGGTCGTTTTGTGCTACAATCTTGTTACTTGTCAAGCAATTCCCCATCTTCCAGATGTAAAACGAGAACAATCAGGCAGGCAAGAATGAGAGAGAGAGAACTAAGGCAGCAGAGAAAATCACAGTTATACAGAAACAGGAAACGTAGAGCACATGAAATTGCGCTTTTTCCGCCGGAGTATTTGGAAGGAGGAGCTCAGATTCTTTAGCAAAACTCCAAAAACTAGTAGGTTAATGATTCTTTAACATAACATAACTGTCTGATTTCACATTAATTAAATACGAAATAATAAATTTTAAATAGATATGTATAGCCGTCTACTACCTTGTACCCAAAGTATTTGCAATGTACATGTACACCAATTGCATAAATTATGCCTCAAGGCAGCTGCATTTACTACTCCAATTGATTAATCCCAGATTCTTCATTCACAGATGAAAGTAGTTTGTTTTTGCTTAATGACAAACATAACTCTTTGTCTTTGATAGCGTAATCCCATTGCCCTACCTTGCGACCTGTGACCCAATTAACTTTGTAATTTCATTATAAATTAGGGAGGTTGGCGGGTTAATGTTGTAGTCTTCCAGGCTCCTCCCAAATTTATTATAGGATTATATAGTCGATTTAAGGACCTCTAATTGCGCCTCATAAACTGCAGCTGCTTCACTAACATGCTTGAGCTTGACCCTACTCTCTTTAGAGAACTTTTGTTGTACTGTTTCCACATTGTTGTTGGTTTCTAAACAGCATATGTGCAATCGATTAGGAAAAATCAATCTAGTTGCAATAAGGTCCAATGATAAACTGCACTACACCTCATGTTTTTGGTATCTTATATTATCATAAAGATTGGCCTTTATTTCGAAAAATAAAAAAATAAAATAAATTAAGAACCAAGGGTTTGATTTTCCAATCAACCTAACCAAACTGCCAAGCAAATCATATCAACTAAATCCACATTGATCATAGCAAACTTCCAACCAATTGTTGCTTAGTAACGAGATTATGGTGAAATTTCTCTACTATATTATTGTTCAATATCTACTTTTAATTTCAAAAACCAATAAAATTAAAAGTACAATGATAAAATTTAACGAAATTGAAGTCTAGTGATGAAATTTAATATTATTCATAGTAAGTATCAAACTCGACCTTGATCGTCTTATCAATCTATCAAGGCTTGAACAAGGAAATCAGATTAAAAACTTATGGTAATATATAGGTAAGTAGAATAATGAAACAAGTGATGAACAAAAAGGGGCTTAGTGTGCAATGAAGTTGATCAATAAATTTGAAATAGAATTAGTTATGTTTAGTCAAATTTTGCTATTAGAACACGCAATAGCAAAGGATGGTGGCGGTGGGTTCAGTGAATGTGAGATGTCCTTCAAGTTTGGGGCACCAATTTGAAACTTGTTTTGTTTACCATAGATATTACTTTAGTTTTAGTTAATATAAAACTCAAAAGGGTCGTTGAAAAATTAAAATAGAAGGGCCAACGCGTCGATTTACAGTTCTGATTTAGGGGGGTATCTTTCACATGGGTTAGGTCACCGTCGGTGGTTTCTCAGGAAATGTTGGGAGCCTTCTGCTCTCCTGTCTCGTGCATGTGGAGGTGGCCCATTTGTGACTTTTTCTGCTTTGGTTTTCTGTAGTAATATAATGGGAGACACCACCCAAATGCTCCAAACATGGATGGTCCTCGTTTGACTAAGGTGAAATGCATGTGACATTGGTTTGTTTTATTTGATATAACATTTAATTGAGTTCTTTATTTCGGATGTACTATTTTTGCTACACAAATTATTCCTTAAGTTCTAATATCTGCTCTCCATTGCCATGTGCTTTCCCTAAACAAAAGCCTTGACATAAACTATGTGGGAATACCAAGTTAGTAGTTGAGCTGTTGATAGTCAAAATATTTTAATTTTAAGGTATAATGTTTAAATTTTTTAAAAACTATTTAAGAAAAATTAAATAAAGTTTTATATTTTAATTACGTTTAATTAAGTTTATATATTTTTATTTTGAATTAAATAAGTCTTTATAATTATACCCATGTGATGTTAACATGATGCTAATGTGGTGGAAGAAAAATATCATAATTGATTATGACATGTAAATATATGATTTTAGTGTCATGTGATATATGATAAATGATATTTTGATTAAATAAATTATTAATTATTAAAATTTATTTAGTAAAAAATTAAAATATAAAAATTTATTTTGTATAAAATAAAAATATATTTGATTGAATGAATAAAAAAATTTATTTAAATTTTTTTAAAAAATAATTTAAATTTTAATATATAGATGACACCCAAGCATTTCCAACTTCTGTCTGTCTTTGTTCAATCTGGGCTGAGCTTTTTGAGTAGAGTTTGCACAGATATCATACAAACAGGCAACAGCCCAACATGAACCAAGGCCATCAATGTTTTGCAAAATTAAAACTATGACTAAAGGAGGCTCAATTCAAAAAGGTAAATGAGTTGAGTTTTGAGTATTCGATGAATCAAACATGAGTGAGAAACAAGTATTTTGACAAATTTTGCATCCCAATTAAGAGAGCTATTAAGTTTTTCCTCAATTAGTCATGAGCTATTATTATTAATTTGGATAATATAGTATAAGCTATTGTTTTAAATTTGATAATTAGTGATTTTATACTGCCTTAAAACCTTAAGTTTTTTTTTTGGAAAGACATAATTGTGTATTTAATTAATCAAGAGTTACAAGTTGCTGCTGCAAGTCTTCTTCCTACTGTTTGAAGACTTTCCACAGCAATTTATAACCCTCATAACCAAGTAAAGAGTGATCAAAAACCCAACCCAGCAAATGCACATCACAGGGGTTTGACCATCCAGGGGTAAACCTGTGATTTACAAAAGTAGCACTTTACATCCCCTTGCCCCCACTCTATACAAAGAAAATCAAAAGCAGACCTGTACAGTTCCTTTCATCAACAAAAAAACTCTTCCCAGAGGGCGGGGTACCCTCTTCCTCCATACTCTTCGATGCAAGCGACCCACATCAGACCTCGTACATGGTAAAGGGCATAGCACTTGTCAATCACAAGTCATAATCAATCTTCATCTGATCTTCCAATGGTCCAAAAGGTCCCCAGACCACGTTGAATGCATTTGAAGAACCAACCAGAACTCAGGACGACCAAGTGTCAGCATTACTAGAGAATTCATTAAATGCAATAGTAGAAAAAAGAGAAGAACCTGGTGTGGTTTCCATGTCAGGGTCTCACAACGACAAACTTTACTTCCATGTAGAAATTGGAAAATATGAAAAATCTATTTTCTTAATATAGATACTGTTACAAGAAGAAAAATCTTGTATTTTAAAATTATGTGTATAATTATGAAAGTGAAAGAGTAACTAACAGTATTGTAATTTAATTAATTAATTAATTAATTGAAAATATTATACCATAACTGTATCACAAATGAATCATTCATCCGTTAAGTGACGTAGTGTTACAATCATAATATAAACAAAAATTCAAGAAATTCTCAAGTTCTTTTTTGTTGGTCTATGTCCTGTTGAAGCTAAGATGTTTTTTTTTTTAAATAAAAATGTGAGAAACTTTCAAGTTACTATTTTATATTTTAATTATATTAAAGGTTGATAACAAATTGACCACAAAGGTTGCCTACATAATAATTAATTTTTGGAACATATACATGGAAAAGTCTAAAAAGAAGAAAGATTAGAATTTGGGATTCTTATTTAAACAAACAAAACGGTAATCATAAAAGAAAACAAAGTTATCCAAATTAGTGATTGCGTCTTGCAATTTACAACCTCAGATATAAGATTGCTGGAAAATTATCTTTGTCCTCTCCCCATGTAATTGTCTACCATAAAAATATCTTTGTGAAGTGGAAACATGCACCATGTCAACAATGGCAACCCGAAAAGTACTCTTTGTTTTGTTCTCCTCTTTATTTTTTTTACTAAAAAATGACTTTGAATTCTGTAATTAACTTGAAATGAATCGAATTTATAAAAACAAATGCTAATCATACGGATAAACTTGTATCATTAGAGCGTGATCTTTTCACTAAATTTCATTTTTTATTTTATCCACTAAATAATAAAAAATATAAAATGGTGCATATCATGTAATATATACATATCTCGATCAATGTACACCCACAAAAGCTTCACCTAACAAATTCTATCCATAATTCCATCCAATCTTGAACAACCTTAGATGAAAAGAATAAATTTTTTAAAATAAACGAAAATGAAACATAATAATGATGCAATTTACTCTAATATCACTCGCTTTCCTTACGTATGGTATATAGCAGTGTTGAGTGTGTGTCTGTGTGTCATGATGTCGTCAACTGATACACGTTTCGCTATCAATTTAGAACCAGTGGGATCTATATGTGTATAGATTAGATTCCCATGGACGTGGTCTCTGCCACCGGAAGCTTAAGCTCTATCTATAGGGATAGAGAGATGTGGATATACTCTGTGGCCATTGAATTTTGAAAAGTTTATCCTTTTCCTTTTTGGGTATCTTTCAAAGTTAATAATGTAACTGCTGCTGAACAAACGTGGAGAGTGTGTCCCACGCAATTAATTAATACGAAGGAAATGAGGATCTTCTAGTTGGTCTTTTCTTCATAACTAGCAAGATGTCAAAATAAGGTTTTAGACATTGATTTGTGTAGTTACAAATTTTGGGGTTGGTTTGATTTGCTAGACGACGCTGTTCGCTTACAGTCTCAAAGCAGCCTCTGAAGTAATTGATTACGCACTTGCTAGGCTGCACACGCCCATCATAGGCCCAATATTAGTTTATTTGAAACACTTAACACCTCCGGCTGATCAATTTGATAATGCTTGTGCTGCTTATCATAAATTAATTAGATAATTAATTATATGATAAACTGATCTAAATGGTCTGGATGAAGTGTTCATATAGAAACTTCCAACTCCGTCTATCCTTTTCATTGAAATAGCCAGCAAATGTACACCATATATAACTCTTGATAATGCCCCTCGCCTCTCATAAATATACTACTCCCAACTCGTGGCAAACAGAAAACAACATTCACCCACTCTGAATTGAAAAACTCTCCTCCGTCCACAGCCATAGTCTATGATGGGATCATCCCAGGACACCATCCCACAGCCTCTGCTTCAGTCACAAACTTCAAGCACGAAATCCGAAATAAGCTCAGAGCTTGAGGACACATTGTCGGACGCTAGCCTTTCCTTGTTTGAGCGTTTTAGGAAAGCAACATGGATCGAGACCAAGCTCCTTTTCCACCTGGCTGCACCGGCCGTTATTGTTTATATGATCAACTACCTCATGTCCATGTCCACCCAAATCTTCTCCGGCCACCTTGGTAATCTTGAACTTGCCGCAGCATCCCTCGGAAACACTGGCATCCAAGTCTTTGCTTATGGTCTCATGGTATAAATAATTTTTTTTCATTGAATCAAATGTTTAGAATACATAAATATTAACATGAATTTAGATATATCTATAGCTATCTCTTGAAGTTACTTTTTAGTATGATTTTTACGAATATATGTATAGTTGGGAATGGGGAGTGCTGTGGAGACGCTTTGCGGGCAAGCCTTTGGGGCACACAAGTACGGTATGCTAGGCATATATCTTCAAAGATCAGCGGTTCTCCTCACCTTAACAGGGATTCTTCTCACCATCATCTACATCCTCTCCAAACCAATCTTACTATTACTTGGTGAATCGCCTGAGATTGCCTCGGCGGCTGCAACTTTTGTCTACGGCCTAATACCGCAAATATTTGCATACGCCATAAATTTCCCGATACAGAAATTTATGCAGGCTCAGAGTATAGTGGCCCCTAGTGCTTACATATCTTCGGCTACATTAATTATACATCTACTGCTAAGTTGGCTGGCAGTGTACAAAATTGGGCTTGGTTTGTTGGGTGCATCGCTGGTTCTGAGCTTCTCCTGGTGGATTGTGGTGGTTGCTCAATTTGTATACATAGTTAAAAGCAACAAGTGCAGGCATACATGGACGGGATTCAGCGTACAAGCCTTCACTGGCCTGCCGAGCTTCTTCAAGTTATCGGCTGCATCGGCGGTGATGTTGTGCCTGGAAACTTGGTACTTCCAGATCCTGGTTTTGCTAGCGGGGTTGCTTGAGAACCCAGAGTTGGCCTTGGATTCACTCTCCGTTTGGTAAGTACAGATCATTTCTGTTCTGTGTTTATTCTTTTTCGGTAACAAAAAAGTAAAAACATTAATGCAAGCTGGACTAATCGAATATCTAATTGGAGGATTTGCACGGCTGAGATTAACTTTTGATCAACCTGTCTCTAGTTGTTGGCAAGGTACATAACCTTTAGAACAGAAAGAGTTAAATTAAAAGGTCACTTTGGAAGAAATCAACATGGCTTTTTCCTCCCATTTATTTACATCCTAAAACTACAAAAATGAAAAGTGATTGCTGACCATATATACGTATTCAATTACTAGATTCTCTTTTATCTATATCGATAACTACTTAGCAAACTTTCGGATTTTGCAATTCTTACCATGCTATAAAGTCATAAAATAATAATCTTATATACATATATATATGAAACTTAGCATAATGATCCAAAACCTAGGAAAAAAGAGATAAACTATCCGAGAAGTGTTTGGAATTGTCCTCTCTTCTTAATAATTCAGCTGCATAAATATCATTGATTTTATGTTTATGTTTTGATAAAATTTATTAGCCCATCTTCAGTAACGAAGTTGAAGCTGTGGTGATTGTCACTCCTCAAATTCTCGATTTTTATTCGTTTTTATTGTATATAATTTAAATTTTATAATTTTATAATTTTATATAATTACCTTTTAATTATTCTCTAAATAAAATCTTAAATCTGTTATTATCTCTTAAATCATGATTTATTATTTTGTATCTATATAAAAGGAAAGAAAAAAAAATTCACTGAGCAGAAATTAACATGTTACCGTAGGTAAATAAAGGTAGGGGAGGTTGTCACGATTGAGTGGACTACAAGACATGAATAATTCAAGATGGAACATGCGCTTGCTCTCTCTGTTGTCTCAGATTATTTAAACCTCGATTTTGGTTTTGTACGTACGATGGAAATGTAACAATAGTATGCATTGGAGGAATTTAGTTTAGTGTTTTAGATTAATAGAATCTTAATTAATGGGTTATTTCAGCATAACGGTCTCTGGATGGGTCTTCATGATTTCAGTTGGATTCAATGCTGCCGCAAGGTCAGTCATCATCGACTTCATGCTTTTAGATTTTATTTCATTACTATTTCTTTTATCATTTATAATTTTCTTAATTTATTAAACGTTATTAAAAGCTAATATTATATATATATATATATATATATTTATAACTATAGATATTGAAACTTCTTAATTGACGAAAATTATTATATTTGTTTATTATTAAGATTTATTTAATTTGTAAATATATAAGAATGTTAATTGTATTAAATGACGTTTATGAAAAAAAATAGTTTTCTTAATCTTAATAATATTGAATCATTTTTAAATTAATATCTTAAAATATCAATTATATATAATTGAAACGGTAATCATCTTTCAAATATAATTGTCGTTTATTTTATAAACCTTATACGTACTTTGAAATATTCGTATGTTGTATATATATATATTAGTGTCATTCAGTTTTTCTAACAAATTACTACAATATGAATGTTGACAAAATATGAGTCGAAATGAGCAGTGTAAGAGTTGGGAACGAGCTAGGAGCAGGACATCCAAAATCAGCATCGTTTTCGGTGGTAATAGTGACAGTATTTTCCTTCATAATCTCAGTAGCGGCAGCCATAATAGTTCTGGCTCTTCGTCACGTCCTTAGCTATGCCTTCACAGAAGGTGAAGTGGTGGCTCAGGCTGTTTCAGATCTCTGTCCGCTTCTAGCAGTAACCCTTATCCTCAACGGAATTCAGCCTGTTCTGTCTGGTATAACAACTTCGAAACTTTCCTTTTAAAGAGAAACTCGTAGGGGATTCAATTCAACATATTTCCGTCTCACATTTCTGGTTTTACGCTTTGCATGAAGGTGTGGCTGTTGGGTGTGGATGGCAAGCTTTTGTTGCTTATGTAAACGTTGGTTGTTATTACGTGGTTGGGATTCCCTTGGGTTCTCTTCTTGGCTTTTACTTTAAGTTGGGTGCCAAGGTATTTACATCGCCATTTTCATTTTAATATTTCAAAGGCCATTGGCTTCGGATTATTCATGCATCATCTGGTTTCAGGGGATATGGTCAGGGTTGATTGGCGGCACAGCCATGCAAACCCTCATCTTGGTTTGGGTCACATTTCGGACCGACTGGAAAAAGGAGGTAACCCCCTTTCATATTTTCCATCAAACAACAGATAATTTATTGCTTGTCAAGCTGAATCAGATTCTTATATTCAATGGCAGGTCGAAGAAGCTAGGAAGAGATTGGACACATGGGAGGATAAGAGCGAGCCTCTTTTGAAGTAGAGAGTCAACGGACAATGTCAGCCACATAAATAAATACAAATAACTTGATTTGTCACAGTGCAGCTCCCTGGCTTCATACGAATTATCGATCCTCATCAACCAGACTGTGACGTCCCGGAGAAGCGAACTGCCCTTTCCATCGTTGAGTTTACTAGCAAGTATACACTTTGATTCACAGTGCTAAAATAATTTGATACTCTGACTAGATTAGATTAGAAATAAGAACACTGTATGCATGACCTATGCAGTTGATTGAAAAGACCCTGCCATTTCTAATTTTTCTTGGCACCTGAGGTTCTCTTTCCTAATAGATATATAAGAGGGGTGGCCTCAAAAACTACTTCTAAGCAAATGGCTCGTAAATCCTATATCTATAGAGAAGGAATCTTGCAACAAGAGGGATTCTTATTTCTACAGATGGGATAAAGCTGTAATGGGGAAAAAAGAATCAACTATTCATTCATTGTGAGAAATTGCTTGAGCAGCAAGACGAGTACATTTCATTACAGATTCATAAACAAGCACAAAATGATAGGATAAATGAGAAAACAAGATACAACAACATTACTTCTTCTTCCCTGCTTTTCCCTCCTTTCTTCTGATAACCTCATCAGCATATTTCACACCCTTTCCTTTATATGGCTCCGGAGGTCTCCATTTTCTAACAGAAGCAGCAAATTGACCAATGGCACTTTTGTCGTATCCACTTACAACGATTCTGGTGTTTTCTTCCACCTTCACTTTAATGCCTTCTGGGATTGCCATCCTGACTGGATGGGAAAAGCCAAGACTCAGCACCAGGTCTTTTCCTTCTAACATTGCACGGTATCCAACTCCAACTAGTTGAAGTCTCTTTTCAAAACCCTTTGATACTCCCACCACCATGTTGTCAGTAAGAGTCCTAGCAATTTCATCAAAGTAAAATCACAATTGAAGTCTTATTAAGTAATGCTGAAAAGACTTTCAAAGTCTAAACTTCCTTCACGTAATTAGTTCATACAAAAATTTGAAAACAGAGAGAAACATGAATCAAAGAAGAAGAATGTATGACTAAATACACATCACATGGCCTTAGTTAGGTGATTGGGATAGTGGGAGTAAGTGAAGGTTGGAGCAGAAATTATAGTGGATTCAAGCAGTAGCTCTTTCCTCTCATACCCAAAATGGTATGCGATTTTTCTGTGTCCTTACTTTTTTTTTTTTTTTAAACACCACATTCTACTGCATCAACAATCTGTTTACACAAAGCTATCCATGAATGTCAGATCGGACCATAATATGCATCCACGTAAACAGTTCACATCATTTTAAACACTTACTGCTGCTACTAAATTTGCCCTTATATCTTGAAGTAAAAATCACGTTCCTATGTACAAAAATAAGAATCCAACACAGTAACTTTATCCATTTCAAGTAAAATACCAAATTTTGCATACATTTGCATGACAATCTGTTGGATACAGCCATTGAAAGTGTTTTCTGCCAGCTGGTATGATCAACACACACCACATGTCCCAGTGATATGCAGGATTTTATAGGACCAACTCACACATTGAAAAATCCATATATCATAAAAAGCAAGGAAATTAAGCATATATAGGAGCATTTGAAAAAGGCCAAAAATCAATTTCTGAAAAGAATAAATAAAATTCTTGAAAAGAAAAGAGGGAGAAGGGAGGTTTCTTTGGAATTTCAAATTTCAGGTTAAAAGATTGACACCTAATAAGGTAATCATCATAAGGGAACACACTTGTTATAAATATGATGAATGAAGGCAAGTAGAGAATGCACCTACATCTCCTGCAGGAATGATTGGGACCCAAAGGGAGTCAAGAAATTAGTGATGTTTGCTGTGAAGGCAGTCAATCAAGAATTCAAGATACCTTGATCCAAAACCCAGCTCAAATCCAGAATGGCACCCATGGGTGCTTGAGGACATTTATTAATTAATTCCTTTTAAGGAATAGATCCAATTGCAGTTTTCATTATGGAGTTTAAAGAGATTAAAAATGGGATACAATACAATGAATAAGAGGTAGATGCCTAACAAGTAAGTATAAAAACCACAAAGGTAAATGGCTAAGGACCATGGTTAGTGGACTGAGGTGAATAATTGATTGCCTCTTTTTGTGAGCGATACGAAAATGCTAATTTCAGATAATGTGGTCAAAAATCAATAGGCATTCTGAACACTTGTTCGTGACCAATTATCATTTTCATTTTCATTTTCATAAGATGGAAAGATCAGATTATAATCATAAAATGCTATTTGTTGGTGTGGTAAATTTGCAAAGGTGATCTTCATTCCAAATATCAGTATAGTCCTTCAGTAATATTTGTACAAGGGTATTTAGAGAAAAATTATGAAGAACTAAGTAGTAATAACTAAGTAATCATCAAGATAGACTAGATAAATAACATATCAAGAACAAATTAAAAAAAGTCAACTTTCTGAGAAAGAGGGGAGAAATAACACGGTAGGACCAATTACCTGAAAAGCCCATGCATTTGGTTAGCTCTCCTAGTCTCTACTGCCTTTCTGACCCTCAGAATCCCAGATTCCTCCCTATCAACCTTTACTTCTCGTGGATAAGTCAATGCAAGTTCTCCCAAAGGACCCTTTACTTTTACATCTTGACCCTCCAATGTAATTGTCACATTGGATGGCACTTGTATTGGCTGCTTCCCTATTCTTGACTCCTTACATTCTACAGCCTTCCTCACGAAACTAACACGAGTAACAGGAATGCTAGAAACACAGATTGCATTTCTCTCTCCCAAAAATGCAGAACTCAAATTGCTGCAAGACCACAAGAAAGTAACGGCATCAAATTTCAGAAATAATCTATAAGCCTCATGAAACAGACCTGTTTGGATAACAATAACTAATGATCCCTTTGGTTGCTGCTAGAAAGCACAGCTTCTGTTTTCATCACCAAGTAAAATTAATGATACTCCTTTACATTCAAGAGCCTTTTCCTAACACTGCAATATTTCGATACAGTAATTTCAAAATGACTAATCATTTAACTCTATATCTCAAGGAAGCTTAGAAGCTGAAATGGGCCCATTACTTTTGTGGATCCTAGTGTAAAAAAACTACATCTCAAACACAACAAAAAGCAAAGGATAACTACACAGTAATTTATATATCCAGTTGATAAATTATGCAATCTTTCAACACTTGACAAGTCTTAAATTTGAAATGCAAAAAGAAAGTTTTTCCCAGCAATGGCCCAAACAAACTTTAGAGCCCCATAGCTGCACACCAAGTAGCATTTCACTTCAAAAATAGAGTGAAAAGAGACAAACCCATTTCCAGGCATAGCAATTTGAAACCAACATTCTTAATTTCAGGACCAAATAACATTTAAAAACAAAGATATGATGAACTAAAAATGTGAAAAGCAATGAAAACCCATCTCCAAACGCCCAATAATTCGAGGCTACAATACCCGAAAGGACTATCCATAAGCAGAACAAAGACAGAAACAGAAGAAACATGGTTGGGGTTCAAACCTGGTTTGGGAAGATATAATTGAAGAAGCCATTTCCTGGAGAGTTCCTTTAGCATCAGCTTCGGCCTATCCAAAACGATTGTTGGTTCGTTACTCTTCTTTTCAACTGTTATCGAGTTATGTCAGCCGTTTTTTGCTTGATGACACTATTACCCTTCTTTTAAGATGGAATTCCCAATGTACCATTAGGCTTAACCCAATTACAGCCTGAAGAGTTTCTTTGACCTTTCTTTGTTGAGCTGTGGGCTGCTAATAGGGCCCAAAAAGATAAAAGTGGGGAAATGGCCTTGTGCCCAAGAAACCATGTGAGCCTAAAGCCTCCCGAAGTCTAAGCAAAGTTAGTGATATTATAATTTTTTTTCCGACTTAATTAAACATGATAATTTTCTATACAATCTATTAATAAAAAAATAAATATGAATACGACACGAACATTTATTATGACATAATAAGTTTTGACTTTGAGATAACAAATGAATATGACATAGACGAGTTTTCACTAGTATTGACTTGTTAATTATTAATTTTTATCTAATGAATCTCATTTTATTTTCATGTTAAAATTTGAATTCAAGAAGCATTCAAGATAAAACTCAAATTAAATGTCACTTTAAAAGTAAAAATATATTTTTATTGATTCAATTTGGAGTAAATGATCTTTAGTATGAACCAATGAATCAAATAAGTTTTTCGATAATGAAAAAAAAAGATTTACTTAAATCATTTATTACGGATTTATATTTTTAATAGAAAATATATTTATTAAATTAAAAAATTTATAGTATAAACTTAATATTTGTTGTACTTTTATTTGACGACAGAATCATGACATTAGTGGCATTTATGATTGAGAGTCCAAAATATCTACTCACCTAACTCTTTACTTGAAAAAAGAAGGAGACAGCCTTACCCTTAGGTTAGATGAGATTCTTTTGATATAAATGAAAATTATTGCCCTCTTCGTGCCGGCTGCGTCAACTCATGCTTTACCATGCAATTGGATGCCAAAGGCAATCCATCAATCTTCACTTTAAGCATCAAAAGCATTCTAAAAAGGGTCGTTGGCTTATAAAGATGATGCCACTTCTCACTACGTATGCCTTTCCATTTCAAGTTGCCAATTGCCCATTACTTAAATATTCTCTCATTTTAATAATTTCAATTAAATTTGGAAAAAAAAAGTAAAAGAAAATTTCTATTTAAAAGTATTTTCTACTATTGACTTGATGATGACTTGATAATTTCTAGTGGTGTTTATTTAATTGTCTTAGATCTATTTTTTTTTATGTAATCAATACGGATTAAAATTTTTTAAATTATTTAATAAAATCTAAATAAGTTTTTTGTTATTTTATTATATTTAATTAAATTTTTATATTTTTATTTTAAATTAAATAAAATTTTATAATTAATTATAAATTAATTATTATTAATTAAAATATTATTTATCATTTTATAATTATGTGATATTAATGTGAAAAGTGAAAAATGTAATATAATCATGTCATTATTTTATATTATTATATCACATTATCATTTAATATAACACGTTAACGTGCTACGTTAGTGTCATATAACATAAAATAACAAATAACATCTTGTCTATTAACAATCAATTAATCATAAGTTATAAGAGTTTATCTAATATAAAATAAAAGTATAAGAACTTAATTAAATATAATTAAAATGAATTTTATTTAAGTTTTTTTAAATAGTTTAAAATTTTTTAAAAATATTATATCTACATAATAATATCCTTGATACCACTTAATAGTAATACTATTATTATTGGATAAATGAAAACTATTATTAGAATTTATTATTAATTGAAATATTATTTTATAAAAATAATTTATGGAAATTATCATTTTGACTAAGACAATTAAAGTAATATTCATGCACAAATTGCTTGATAAATAAAAATTGAATATACTACTACGAAATAGACTTCATCAATGATAATAATATAATTAAAATTAAAATTTCTCTCTAGTAAAAAATTAAATTCTAAAAGAAAAAGAAAAGCTTTTTCCGAAAAAAGATTGCTTTAGCCTTTAAGCCTTTTAACTTAAAGACTCCCTTTGCCTTTGGACCGGACCACATGTGGAAACTCTTTCTGCTAACGGTTCCACAAACAGGGTGGACTGAATTTTAATGGTGGCAAATTGGTTCGAACGGATTATTGATAGATTCCCAGAGTGTGTTTCACGAGTTCACGACTCCGTTAAGCACGTGAGAATTAACCTTTCTTCCATGAAATAAATGTATAGAAAATTCCCAGAGTTATTATCAGAGTAAAAAACAAATCCAAGACAAAATGCAGGCTGCATGCAATGCAAGTATGTGAATATAGTAATGAGCCGAGTTGTACTTCTTCCCTAGAAGAACATCTCTCCTTTTTACCCAAAAAACCATGAGCAATTTCTTTTGTTCCTTCAATTTTTTTGTTATTTCAATTATTTTTACAGTAAAACAAACGTTGCAATTAATAACTGGGTCCCTATATTGAATTGTCTGCTCATAAACGTCAAGTCTCCCCCACATTACTCTGTTTTTCTACATGATTTTCAGAAGTTCCGAATTTGGCGACTAAATCACTTTTTTTTTCTCCTTTTGAATTTCTTGCAGCCATGGGATTTTAGTTTTGTTATCGTTTCTTCCATATGTTCTCTGCTCTGGTTGTTGTCACAGTATGGCAGGTTAAATACACTATTAATTCACTTTTCCTGTTCCAAGTTTTTCTGTTTTTCCTTTTACTTGAAGTGAATTTTACTTTGAAGGTTGAGTTTTCTGATTGATTTTATAATCTTGGTATTTAGAAAAAAAATGCATGCATGACATGCTGTTGTCAAGGTTCTTCAACCTCATGAAGCCTTGACTTTAGACAAAGGCTAACTCTTTAAATAAAAGAAATTTTCTTTTTTCTTTTTATGAGTTGTTGATTTTTGATAGTATCCAACAATGAGATATCTTGGGTTTGTTTCGTTGTTCGTTTTGATGGTATGGGTATGCCAGAGTTGTCTCGTGGGTTGTGAGAAGCCTGCTGTTGTAAACGTTGGTGCTATTTTCACATTTAATTCTGTTATTGGTAGAGCTGCAAAGCCAGCTATGGAAGCTGCACTCGCTGATATCAATGCTAGTCCCACGATTCTTAATGGAACTCGTCTTAACTTGTTCATGGAGGATGCTAATTGCAGCGTCTTCTTGGGTTCTACTGAAGGTAACTTCAATTCTGTTTTTGTTCTTTCCTTTTTTGCTGATTAGTCTGTTATAGTACCTGGTTGGTATTAGCAGTTCTTACGGCTTATATAAATTTTAATGAATATTCTCAACGAAGAGAAATGTTACGAACTTAATTCAATTTTACTGCACAATTTTCTCCTAGGTTCACATGAATTCATATAGGATCGATCAATTACTTTAAACCCTTTTCGACTCTAATAAATTCTTTTTGATGATTTATATCCATTTACACTGTAATCTTTACTTTGTATTGTCTCTAGATTTCCTTTAATTAATCTCCTAGCTTGACAGGCATAATAGTGATTTTATATGCTAATGAAGTTTGTCAGCAGTTTAATACCCTAATGAGTTCAGAGAGATGCCAAATCTCCTTATGTCCTATTTGTATACCTGTTGATTTCTGTTTTCACTGTGGTTAGATTGCCATATCAGGCCAAAGGCCTTGCAGGCATGTGTTTCTTGAAAATTTACTGCTAAGAATCTTAAACAAAAATAGAAGTTCTTCTAAAACAGATTGAACCTTTCTTTTATTTCAGCTTTTCAAGTACTTGAAAAAGAGGTGGTGGCTATTATTGGTCCGCAGTCATCTTCAATTGCTCATATAATTTCTGCAATTGCCAATGGCCTTCAAGTTCCACAAGTTTCATATGCTGCCACTGATCCAACTCTTTCTGCTCTCCAATTCCCATTCTTTCTCCGAACTGTGCAAAGCGATTCCAACCAAATGATTGCTATGGCTGATTTAATTGGCTTTTATGGGTGGAAAGAGGTCATTGCTATCTATGTAGATGATGATTATGGGAGGAATGGGATATCTGTCTTAAACAATGAACTTGACAGGAGAATGGCAAAAGCTTTCTATAAATTGCCTTTGCCTGCCCATTTTGCTCAAAGTGATGTCATATCTTTACTCAATAACTCTAAATTGCTGGGTCCTCGTGTGTATGTTGTTCATGTCAATCCTGACCCCCAATTACGAATTTTTGCCTTTGCCAAAAAGCTTCAGATGATGACCAGTGATTATGTGTGGCTTGCTACGGATTGGCTTTCTGCTACCGTAGATTCATTCTCTCCCATGAATCAAACTGCTCTCCATTCGCTTCAAGGAGTAGTTGGATTGCGCCAACATATTCCAGAGTCCAACCAGAAGAAGGATTTTATGTCTCGATGGAGAAATATGCAGCAGAAAGGGTTGGCAACTTCACAGTTGAATACCTATGGGCTTTGTGCTTATGACACAGTTTGGACAGTTGCACATTCAATTGACAAGTTCATAAATGATGGAAACAATCTTACATTTTCATCCAGTGATAAGTTAAATGATATAAAAACAGGTGAAATGCATTTGGAGAAGCTTAAAGTTTTCGATGGTGGTGATATACTGCTCAAGGAATTACTGCAAACAAACTTCTCTGGTTTAACTGGTCAAGTTCATTTTAGTTCAGATAGGAACATTGTGACTTCAGGTTATGATGTCATTAATATTGACAACATGGCTGTTCATACAGTTGGTTACTGGTCTGGTACTTTTGGTTTCTCAGTTTCTCCTCCAGAAACCCGCCAAGGGACTCAACATGGCAATTCTGAAATAGACCAGAAGCTTCACAGTGTTACTTGGCCTGGTGGAAAGACAGAAAGGCCTCGTGGCTGGGTGATTGCTGATGATGAACGGCCTTTGAGAATTGGAGTGCCCTATAGAGCCAGTTTTGTTGACTTTGTTACAGAACTGCATGATAGCCATAAAATTGCAGGATACTGTATTGACGTGTTCACAGCAGCACTGGAATTAATCCCATATCACGTTCCTTACAAATTTGAGCTTTTTGGGGATGGCCGGTCCAATCCTAATTATGGTCAGCTTGTGAAAATGGTTG